TGTGTGTGTGTGTGTGGCCAGCTCAGCCCACCAGGGGGCGGGGCTGGCTGGCATGTGGTGCTGGGGGATTGAACTGCGGTCCCTGTGCTTTGCTATGCTTGTTCTAAGTAGGTGCTTTAGACCACTGAGCCATCTCACCAGCCCTGACTTTATATTTTCTGACCACTCTAGGGGTCTCAGAGTGATAAACCAAGAGATCACTGGGCTAGGGATATAGCTTAGTGGCACAGTGCCTGCCTGGCAAGCGCAAACTTTTGAGTTTGATTCCTGGTTCGAAAAAACAAAAAAACAAACCCAGGAGATCATCACTGTCATTGGCAATAAGGTTGGTATATCCTTCATAGCCTTGTGACCTGGCATTTTCTTTTTTTCTTGGGTATGTTCTGGGCATTTTCTTCCAGAAAAGGCCAGTTTCATCACAGTTGAAAGCATTCATTCATTCATTCATTCATTCATTCATTCATTCATTCATTCGTGGTGGTACTGGGGACTGAATTCAGGACCTTGTGCATGCTAGGCAGGCACTGTACCAATGACCTACACCCCTAACCCCTCACAGTTGAAAACTTGATGAGAGCAAAACCATGTCTCTGTGTAATCATTTCAAAGTGGTGTATGTAATTTTAAGCAGTTGTTTTATCAGCGTTAGGCTCTGGCAGTGTCTACTTCAAGGCTTGTCTTATCTTTCTCTGGTTGATAAAGGAGGTAAATGGAGCCCAAATCTGTCCTTTATGATCTTAGCAGGTGTGCAGTAGGATAGGAGGATTGGGCTGATTCTGTTGCTTTCAGCTCCACAGAAGATCCTACTGATCCTGGGCTCTGGTTGTGGGACTTGGGCCTGAGTTGTTCAGCCTGTAATACTCTGGGGGGGTCTCTTGCCAGCTTGACCTTGGCTCCCTGACCTTGGATTTCTTTCTCCTCTTGGTTGTCCCTTCACCTGGTTGCTGGGAGCCTTGAGAGGAAGTGGACCCTTGGATCTGGGTCCTGGGTTCAGTTGGCCACTCCCAACGGCTGGCCAAATAGCTCAGTGGATTAAAGTGCTTACAAGCAGGCGCAGGGGGTGTTCAATCCTGGGCCTGGCCTGTGGTGCCAGTCCTGCCCCTAGGGCACACTTAGACACTGAGACTGGGTGTGGTGGTGCACACCTGTCATCCCAGCACTTGGGAGGCTATAAACAGGAGAATCATTATAGTCAATCTAGAGGTGAGACCCTGAACACTCTGTAGACCCTTCCCTAAAATACAGGGGTGGGGGAGGGGGGGGGAGAAATGTCAATTGGCCACTCCCTAAAATGGTGTCTGGCCAAGCCTCCTCTCCAGGGCACACTTGGACTGGAATCATCAAGTGGTGGTGTTCACAGCATCCACTGCTCTGTCCTCCTGAATCATTTTTCTATGGAGCACTCTTGGGTCATCTGTCATGGTGGCTTTTGGGTTCTCCCATCTTCACTGTGTGTGCAGATTTGAACCTCATCTGTCATGATGTGAGCTGGGGTCAGGGAGAAAGTGCAGCTTGCTGCCTCCTTTTTGTATGTGTGTTAAGGTCTGTTTATTTATGTTCCCTGTGGGCTCCAATTCTCCCTTCAGATTTTTGGTGGGTCCCTCGGATCCATCTCTCTCCTTTTCTTCCTCAAGTTGTTATATTCCAGTGTCTAGATTCTGAATCTCAGAGAGGCTGACCCACTGCTTATTTACTGCTTTCTGGAAGTCCTCTAAGGATATATTTTAAAATGCTACTTAGTTCTTTGCAGGGCATTAGAAATATTTAATTTTGTGTTAAAGTCTATAAAGGTACTAACAGAGCAGTTGCGATCCATTATATACATTTGAATTTGTTGAGTAGTGGCAAATGACCATTGGTCTTCTTCAGTTAGAATAGAATTAAGAGTAGAAAATAGTAAGATTGTAGAATTAGGAGACAGGGATATGGAGAGATAGATAGATAGATAGATAGATAGATAGATAGATAGATAGATAGATAGATAGATTGATTTTTTTTTTTTGAGACAGGGTATATGTATTCCAGGTTGGCCTTGAACTCACCATGTATCCTAGGCTGGCTATGAACTTCTGGATTCTCTTGCCCCACTTTTCCCAATGCTGGAATTACAGTCTTGTGTCACCAGCGAAAATTAAACTTCTTTGTGTGTGTCTGGTGTTTTCTATGGTAGTAGAGTAGGTGTAGGCTGGGTGTATTTTACTATTTACATTTTTTACTGGAAAAATCATAAAATAAAAAAGTAATGTTACGAATCTATCCTGCCTGGAGATGTTGCTCCTTGGTAGAGTGTGTGCCTAGCTAGCATCCTTGGTAAGTTGGGTTTGGTCCCCTGCCAAAACCACCTTCCCCCCCCAAAAAAAACCCCCTCCAATCTGGAATCTTATGCTTCTTTTTCTGTCCTGAATGTTTGAAATTCAATAGCTAGAGAGATAATGGCAAACTAAATGACTATTCCTTGAAAGATAGGATGTATTTAGCAGTTGAACAAAGTCTTAATTTAGAAGAAGGAGCCTATTTTGAGTCTGTTTTCCCTTTTTCCCTTAGGGTCTCAAGGAAGAAGGTCTGGATTTGCTGGTGTTCAGTTCTGCAGCTGAACTGGAGTTGCTGGGCTTGGAGAAGCTGAAGTATGCACTGGCAGCCCTGGGCCTGAAGTGTGGAGGCACACTGCAAGAACGCGCAGCCAGGCTCTTCTCTGTCAGAGGCCTGGTGAGGGAGCAGATTGACCCAGTGTTATTTGCCAAGCCTTCAAAGGGGAAGAAGAAGTGAATTCACTAGGACAGATTGCTAATGTGCAGCCTCTTATATCCTGCCTTCTTTGGACTCCTGACCAATATTCCCATTAATATTAAAGGCTCATTTTTTAATAACCTAA